TGCCTGTGAGAGCCACGTGGTTCTGCAGAAATGCCTACCACGTAAGCAGAAGTTTGAGCGCGTTTGAAACCGGCCGGAATAACAAAGCGTATTACTCGAACCCGCGCCAAACCCCGGGGGCGATTCTCTGCCAAAGTCGACGGGAACTCAAGACCCAAAGAGTACGAGGTAATGTTGCGAGAAATTTTATCCATTACTTTTTAATGAAATACGTTATATAAGCTGATGTCAGGAAACTGCTAACGAGTTCGGATTATTATTTTTTAATTATTGGTTTAGCTTAGACAAAAATAAGGTGTGCGAAGTGATCATCATGTGCGGCCTATTTTGGAGATTTTAAATTCAAGCTGAATCTTCGCTGCATTTTTCGGATGTTTGTCGAATACTCCTCGTGTATATGATGGATTTTTCAAAAGTTTTGCAAATGTTCAAACGAAGAAACCAGTGTCAGTTTTCCACAGGAATAATTCGTAAACAAAATTTTTCTGGATACTTTTCAGCAACTTATTTTTGGCCTATCCAACAATCCTTATGAAAATGATGAATTTCTTTTTTTTGCAGGCATGGAGAAATAACGGTATAGCGATCAAATGAAAAGTTCATTCATATACTTCATCGTCAAGAAACTTAAATAGGTGTCGTTGAAAGATCGTCTAGAATATAAACTGTCGTTTCGATTAAACTTTTTTTAAACGAGCTTTTCCTTCGATATCGTTCCGTGTGTAGAACGGTTAAAACTGAACAGGTTCAAAATCCCTTTTTCCGAGATGATTTAAGCAAAAAAATGCTTCAAATGCTTCAGATAAATTTGCTTGGCATTTGCAGTGAAAATGTTCATAAATATATGTAAAAATTGAACAAAATAACAATTGAGAACGTTTTCCGGAAGGATGACAATTTAAATTCTTCAAAAAATTGACATGGGGGTGTGATTGAATTTTTTTATAGCGTCTTATTCATCCTCCCAATTATTTCCATTAATGTATAGAAGTAATTTTTCCCTCATCGCCGATTGTTTTCTTTGATAGAAAAGAGATTATATGCACTTCCTAACAGATTGAAAGCAAGTTTTTCATTACATATCCTTTTGTACCTGTCTTCAATTTTTTTTATTGGGTGATTAGCAATGTTTTCAAGCAAATAAAAGGAGACATTTGATATCTTAAAAATTGAGATGTTTCTCGAAGAAATTCAATTTTTAAATCCATTTGTTGTTCAAATGTCAATATTTCACCTTGAATAATCGGTTTTTGTGGCCTGAACAGTTATTTCCACCAAAACTGCTGCGAAAATCGAAGCACCATGCCTTCATCCACAAGCAGTCAATTTAGACTTTTCAATTAAAACAACTTTGTTTGATGATGTATGACTATCATGTCATCGCCATTCATTTTCTTTACCAAAAGTTTTGATTATTGTCACAGGTAGCGATTTGGGTGCTGCAGTGGCTTCTAAACCGTATCACGATGATTGGATCATGTTGGACTCTGCAGTTGTCGCACCACATCATGCAGCGAAAATTGTTTTCAACGACCACAGCGTTGCAGAGTTCAAGTTCATCTGGGTGAGTAACATCAATTTTTTCTCAATTTTGCTGACACGAAAATTGCCGAAATTTGACAAGATTAATCCGAATCGGCAAAGGAAATCCCTTTCAGCTGCTGGGAATGTCTTTCTGAATAAACCTCGTTTGAGAAGAAACGGGTTGAAATGGAACCGAATTGTCTGTGATTCAAGATATCGGATTTTCTGAAACGTTGTAGCAAAAAAAAAAAAAAAACCTTTCCGAGCCGACCTTGATGCTCAAATCAGATTTTTTTTCGAAGTTCAAACGAAGAAAAGAGTGCTTCAGGTTATATTGGATTCTGTGGAAGCTTGGGTTTTCGTTCCTGGCATTCTTTGAAACAAGATTCTCACGCATTTGCAAACAATTCTAGGGACAACCATGAACTGGAAGTCTTTTGTCCTTCATCAAAGCACTATATGCAGTCTCATGCAAGACCACTGTAAGAGGTCGGGCACAGCAGCAGACAACCACGCAGAAAATTTTAAATCTTGGAAATTGAAGTTCGATGTCAAATTCGAAAGTTTTTTCGCCTTATAGAAACCTGAAGGAGCGAAAATTTTGTATTTTCCAGTTGACGAATTATCCGTTAGTTTGTCTGAAAAATGCACACAAAAAAGATTTCTGATCCGTAATTATGTTTCGATTCTGTATTCAGAACATTTCGGAAAATCCTCAGTAATTTTTCTTGTAATAAGAAAATGGACAGAATCACAAGTGTAATTTTGCGCGTCGTTTTTCTCAATATATCCCAAGTTCTGAATCGACCCACAAATATAACAGCATTTGAATGATCCAAAAATTGATCTTGAATATTGGGAATTTTTTTCCCAAAAGCTTGTTTTTCGAGATTATTGCAGCGCATTCAAAATATGTTAAATAGATTAAGCTCAGACCAGGTCTGTTGATTCCATACGAGTAAATGGCAACTGCGTGCAGTGAAAGTAATTAAAAATAGGTTTAACAATTAGACTGAAGCAATTTGAAGAACCTTCTCAATTATGATGTAAATTTAAATTCCTCTAGAAATGGCCGACGTGAATCGCCAGCAATTTGTTTTTCTTTTTTTAATAGGTATAATCGCAAGTGGAATTTTACGAGTGATTTTTCTCATTTCCCTAGTCTTGATTCGACTCACTGAAGCAACTCACTGACGTACTGCTGTATATAGCATCTGAATTAAAAAATAATAATAATCTTGCAAATTTTTACTTGTTTTTCAAACCCCTATTCTTCGAATATTGAAGAATACAAAATTTTTCAAATATATTGAGCTCGAAGCGGGTCTGTTGACTATACATAAATGACAACTGCAGTGGAAGTAATTATAAATGTATACAGGTACTTACAAATTAAGCTGGAGCAATTGAAGAACCTTTTCAGGAAGTATGTAAATTTAAATTCCTCTAGAAATGGCCGACGTGAATCACCAGTAATTTTTTTTTAATGTGGTCAGAATCGCAAGTGGACTTTTAAGAGTTATTTTTTCTCTTTTCTCTAGCGATGAATCGACTCGTCACGCGAATATAGTATCTGAATTTTCAAAAGTTTGATCAGACCTTTCCAGCAGGAAATGAAATCATACGTTTTTCCATCAGCTTAGAGACTCGTGCAAATGTCAATTATGCGTTCACGAGGCCACTGGACAAAGACTACTCGACTCAAACAGCTTGGACCTCAACATCCGACCCAAGGAATTGTACATCAACGACCGGGGCCAGCTGGAAATAATTTGGCCAGACGCCAGTCAGCAAGAAAAGCATCGCAGCATTTTCGACGCGTCTTGGTAATGAAATCAAACATATCACGTCTAGGAAAAGCACCGAATCATCGCGTCTTGTTTCTGCTTTATTCATTTATTTTTTGGTACTCGGTGGGGATGAGAAAAGGCTGTACAGATACGGTCAATGTTTCATGGAGAACACGTACGAACAGCAAGACGTTGAACGAAACAGACCACCGAAAGAATTGTGGGATCGAGAGAAGATCAAAAAGCAATTCCCGAAATTGAGTTACACTGAGTTTCAAAGTGGAGATGCGGGGTTGAGGAAATGGCTCGAATACATCCACATTTTCGGCATCGCCGTCATTCAAGGAGTTCCTACTCAAAATCAGGTACTCGCTCAATAAAAATATTTCTCTTTCAAATAATACAGCATCCCATCATATATTTTTAAAATTATTCATTCCGATCTTCTGACTTTTTTTCTGCTGCTTCAGCGCCTGATCCATTTAATGTAATTTGACAGACTTCAAATAATGAAGATCAGTAGTTTTTCAATTCTGAAAAGAAAAAGTTTCCGTTTTTCTGAATTGTTCCCTCAGACGTTAAAAAATTATTCCAAAAAAAGCCGAGTTTTCACGTTTCTGTTGTCCGTTTAGAAATAAAATGCGATGCTCCCCAACACTTTTTGTGGCTGTATCATTCAAATACGCGTTCCTCGTTTATCTTCGAATTACAGGAAGAGGTCAGAGAAATTGTAAATAGATTCGCGTATGTTAAACAAACAGCATACGGGTTGACCTTTGATGTGCTTGCTGAACCTAAGGCAGCTCATTTGGCCAATACCGGTCGGTATCTGGAACATCATACTGACCTGAATTACCGAGAGAAAGCACCTGGTCTCCAACTTTTGCACTGTTTGAAGGTTTGTGAAACTGCTTGTCTAGCTTGATTCGTACAAAAAGCAAACTTTTCGGATATTGGTGATGTGCTGAGGAAGAAATATTCAACGCAAGAACTCATTGCTATTTTCAATAAATAATTCTAGTTCACCCGAAAAAATCTCGTGATTTTTAGTTCTGCTTATGATTGAACAATCAATCTGCAATTACAGGGTGACTCAACTCTCTGTACTACGATTTTTTTAAAGTTCCAATAGGTTCTCCCTCCATGTTATTCAGATTTTCGAGAACGAAATTCCAACCGGGAAAATTTTTTTCTGGACCCTTGAAAGTCATTATTGTAGAGATAGTCCACCAAATTTGTTTTCGAGTTTAATTTCGTTGTATAGAGAGAGTGTATCTGTCTTGATTTCAAGTCTTCGCCAATGGTAAGCAATTGCTTCAAAATATGGCATTAGATTGATTTTCTAATCAATGATGCTAGAATTTCACAAGCTTTGGTTCAAATTTGCACATCGAAGAGGAATTGTCAAGGTACTCTGCACAGAATGAGAGATGAAAGTAAGTTTCTTGATCTCATGCAGCAGTATCTTCGAATTTCGAGGTATTGGTGTCATAAATTTAATTTTTCAGCACTGAAACATATGTTTTCATTGAAAAATTGAACAAATCGATGAACCAAAAACTTCGGATTAGTGTACTGTTTAATTCCCTGAAACTTTCCAAGGTGTAACAATTATCACGATGAAAAATCGAACTTGGTCTGTAAAGGAAGAATAAATGGACACTGTCTGTAAAGCCAGCTACAATTTACAAAAACATGAACTTTCCTTTTCTTCCAAATCAATAAAATCCCTTTAGAAAAGTAATGAATTGCTGAAAGCGATATTGGCTGTGATGATGATTTTTTTTTCAGTTCCAGAGGGGAGGGGAAAACGTACTGCTGGATATGTACACTTTTTTTTGCAAAAAAAATATCTCGTACAGTATATGATTTCCAAGCCGCACTCACTGGATGAGAAAATTGGCAGAGAAGATTTGGCAAAAGTTCAATAAATAAATAAAAACCAATTGTCTTGCTGTGTAATTATGGGGGGTTTCTCGCTCCCGATCTTTGAAGGGGTTTTTTATCGTTTTTGTCTTCTCGCAGGCTCACTGATATTTTTTTTTGCACAACTTCTCGAGTTTCGCACAGTGTGACGGAAAATTCTCCACGTACGGCATACATTTGACACTAGACACAAATCCATTGAACCTAGCTGGTATCAGTTGTCCTTGACCATCATGAAAGAATGGAACTTTATATGCTACTTTTTTGACGTTATTTCTTCTTCTCCCATTTTTGCTTGCTATGGGGCTTCGGCAAATGTAAATATATAGAGCGAAGTCCTGGGCGAAGGAGACGAAGAAGCAGCAGGAGGCAAGTCCTTTTTCGTGGACGGGTTTCACGTGGCCCAGTGGCTGGAGGACCACGAGCCAGCGGCTTTCCACATCCTGACTTCGACTCCCCTGCGCTTCCAAATCAAGATGGATGGGGTACGTTGACCTCGGTTGGGAATAAATGGGTAAATTTGGAAATGAATTCGCAGAAGAAGATGTCTGGCTAGCAGCAGTCAATGCTGCAGGGCGCCGTATAGATAAGCAGTGAGACCCACAGATGTGGACATAATTGCTGGTGCATCAAGAGTGTCCCTATAAGTTGAGTCTTGTTTTCCCATAGACTTGCATTATATAATTTTCAGTTGGTGTTTTATGGAAGAAATATGCTTCAGAATTGCATGAAAAAAATTTCTTTGCCACTTGAATTTGATTCAGTGAATATATTTTCAACTCAATATAAGAACATTTCGAGCATTGAATAGTGTATCTCTGAACTGTACATTGAAATGTTGGCATTGACAAAAATAACATTCAAGTCACAAAGAGAGAAGGAAGTGAGTGAAGTCCCTCTATGCAATAGATACTTTTTAAATTAGCTGAATGGATGGGAAAGTTATGGGAGAAATATGTAAGAACTTTTCTTGCATAAATCTTAGGGTAGGAAATATCTGTTTTTAGCAATCAAGCCAAATAGAAGTCAATTTTTGTTAGATTTATTGGGAATTTTATCATGCATTGTCCTCATATTAAGTCAGTGTCCACATGTTGGTCCTTTTTTACACTCTTTTATTGAAAAATATACGTCCATATGTCAAATTGTCCTCATGTTGAGGTGTCCGCATGTGGGGGTCTCACTGTATGTACTGTATATAGATACTGTACTGTACTTCTATATCTCGGTAATGGAATCAAGAGTCTGACCATTCCGTCGCCTTGTCTATTTATATTTGATTTTCCCCCCTTCGCTTTCGCGTCTTGATCGAGTTTTATATACGTATTTAATTTCGCAGAAGAGGTACTCACAGCTGTGGCCTGTGATTGCACTTGACAGTCACGGAGATTTGGCAGAGATTCACTACAACAACAGAACCAGTGGGCCGCTTCAAGCGCCCAATAACGTCGTGATTCCCTTTTACCACGCCTTGAAGGTTCGTTGCAAAAATATACTAATTTACCCAGTTGTAAAATGTATTTCCGAAAAATGTCGATACAGTATTCAATCTTGGAGCGAAGGATTTGTATTCTCACAGATTTTATGCGTTATTCGAGAGCATCATACAGTCTAACCCCTTTGACAAGGTGAACAAGCAAAAAATAAATAAATACTGTAATCCATTCGTTGGGGGGGGGGGGGGTTTGGGAGGGTTTAGGTTCGCAGAAAAAAAAGAAAAAAAATTACAGGAAACTGGATTGGCTGCATTTTTTAATTGCAGAATAAATGAGTTATTGACAGGATGCTGAACTTGGAGCCAAGGGTTCATTTGCCCAATTAGTTTTCTACTTTCTTTCAAGACCCATCGCTACATTTGTATTGTTCTTCTCTTTTCTCTGTCAATAACATAATAACCAAAAAGACCTTATTCAGGAAATGCGAGTTACGGGGGTTTGAGAGGATCGAGATGCCTTATTTGAGCCAGAGATTTTTAATTCATTGATTCTAAAAAAATTAAATCAAGGACTTGAAAATAATTCGACATGAGGAGGTATTCGACTTATATTCAGCGAGTTTTTATTTATCCAGATTTAACAGTATCAATTAGCCGCGAGCATTATTTGGGAAATTAGTTTCTGTCCTGCACGCTTGTTGACCAAACTTTATCCTGCCCATGTTCGGGCAAATACCGACTTTATCGAAAACAAGCCAAGCTGGTTCATTAACGGAAGTTATTGCGCGGTGTTCGAGGAAGTTTGCGGTAATGTCGTGCTGTAACTTGGATTCCCTTTTCCTCTTCGAGTGTTTTATCAGGCAACTTTGCGTCTTTTCTTTTCATTTTGGCGAGTTTATTTTTCTCTGAATTGACCGGGCTCGGAGAAAGGTGAATTCTTTTCTTGTTGTTGCGGATTTTCGTGATCGTGATTTGAGTTACCCAGTGCAGGTCTTCAGACTGCAGTATAATTATATTCAGTTAATCGTTTAAATTGATACTTTTTTTTGTTCATCGGAGTTAGTTTAAAAATATATATATGCCTATTTTTAATGAATGAAACTTTAGAGCTCATTGCAGGTGCAGAAATACCGTATCTTTTTTTCGGATTCAGTGTAGACCAGACGAAAATGAAAACAATAACTTTCGATTGAAGCCATCGCGATTTTCATTGAAATTTCAACCGAAAATTTATTTAAATTTTCAAATGATTTGCTGCGATGCTTTCTAACGAGGGTTGGAGGAGTTTGCATAAATGTTGTCAAAGTTACGTGTGTACATGGGCTTGATCCCCAAAAATTTTCAAGCTGCATATAACGTTCCTACATTTTTACAAAGGAAGAAAGTTCTGCCAAAATTTGCATCTGTTATTGAAAAGTCAGAGAATCCAAGAAATACGCGTTAATTTTTTTTTATTCTTCAAGAAATTCGTTGACAAATTGAGAGATCCAGCCTCAGAGTTGGTGTTTGCAATGTCACCTGGAGACGTTGTGGCCTTCGACAATCGGAGAGTTTTGCACGGAAGAACAGCATTCAATCCCCGTCGCATTGCAAGGTTGGCTATTCGATAACATGGTTTTCTCAACTTTTTTCGGTCTGTTTCTTGCTGTAGTCGATAACAACTTTTTTGGTTTATGTTTTCATCCTGCAGGCATCTGAAAGGCTGTTACGTCGACATAGACGAAGCTTATTCAAAATACGACTCCCTACTTTGAGCGAAGAATGCCCCAAACTTCATTTCGCCTGCCGGTTATAAGTGACCGAAAAAAAACAACATTCAGTCACGTGTTTGTTGTGAAATTATTTAATCCTTGGGCGAGAAATGGTTTGAAAATCACTGTTGTGGAATATTGTGTCAAAACTTGACCGTGTGCTGTGCGAAAGTTCTATGCGTGACGCGCATTGCAACATTTATGGCGATGTTGTAACATAACAACATATAAATTACACAGTACTTATTTTTTTTTTATGATCGACGTGCTTGAATTTTCGCACTTCGTCGAAACGAAACGCAGTTTCGTAAAATACCACGTTTAGTGAATTGCTAAACTATTACTTTTGTGAGGGTGCAGTAACCAAATGTGCATCAGTGATTTTGTTTGACATTTTGTTCTCGCGAGAAAATGAGTGCGAATCGCGCATTTATTTTTATTTTCGCAAACATTTTTTGAACTGAAGCATGTTAATGTTCGCAGTGGTTTTCAACAGTTCTCGGACCTGTAAATAAAATTCTTTTAAATTTTTTGCAATGGATTATAATTCAACTATGATTTTATAAAAAAAGCCTTCCGTGTGTTAATTTTGGTCAGCATTTTTTTCATGGATACTGGAGTAAATAAATTTAGTGCCAAGATTTTTTTTTTTCGAAGTTTGAACCTGAAGAAATGTCTGAGGAATGAAGTAAAGGTGACAGGAAAGTCTGAAAACTCGATGCGTGAATCACGGAGGAATTGGGAATTTTTTAATTTTATTTTTATTTTTTGCTTTTGATATTTTTCATCATGAATTCTTTTGATTATATTTCAAAAGAAGCGTTTCGCGACTATTTCAAATGACGTATCACACGACCTTTGCTTTTATGTATATGTCCTCAATCCAAAAGCTGTGGCTGAATATGTTAGTGGCTCCTCATTTGATTATAAATCAGAAATTTTAGAAACTTAGCAAAAAGAAGTTTTGAAATGGCCCCGAAATCCCTTGGAGGATGAGATCATTTCCGAAAGCTTGGACATTTACAGTGTTCTCATCTACAAGATATGCAGTGCAATATACATCAGCTGAATGAAGAAAAAAGACATACGAGAGCGTAGAGAGAGCAATGGAATATATGCGAGGGTAAAATTGGATCTCTCCTATATGCATATATCCCGTTTAAGTTTTCAAGGAAAACAAGAGATGGTGAGCCATCTGACAGTTCCCAAGTACCCGCATAACATTAACATGCGAGATATACTGCTGTCGAGAATCGAGACCCGTCTCATTCAAGTGAACCCAGAATCGAGATTTCTGGCTTTCGCTCGAAGAAAAGTCTTTGGAACCCGTCCCGCTTTTGCTGCTGCTGGGCAGGAAACAACCGTGTCGTAAATATTTCCATGGAAATGAACTTTCCCGGCTTCGAGGAGTCCGTTTCAAGTTATCTATATCATTTTTGAGATTATTTCTATACTGTATAGAGAAGAGAATGTCATGGGAAAACCCAGCTCGGATTTCCATTCATCTCTCATACAAAAAATATAAAGGGATATTACAAGCAATAAATGGCATCTGCTAGACTAAAGATCTTGCCTCTTTAGGTTAACTTGTGCTACTACCGTATTTTTTTTCTGAATAATGCGCCGTGTCTATTAATTCAAGCCATGGAATCTATTGAAAGCCAGGAACCATTATGATAAGGGTTCCTGAATATGTTTCTTTTCAGATTTCGTTTAAAAGCAGATACTTTCTTGCGCTGAAAGAACTTTACGATGTCATTTCCGAGTACTCCGACTGATGATCTGGCTGTTTATAAGAGTGACAAATGTTTCAACCATTTCAAAATGAGCTCTAAAGTACTGTACTATCATCTTATAGATACCAGTGCTGGTGGTAGTACTTTCCTAAGAAAAGTTTAAAATTTCTGCAAAAACAGACACAACGGAGAATTCATACCAGAAAAAACAGTCCAAATCACTTCTTCTGATACATGTTTCCTACCGAAATGTAGAAAACGGACTTCATAGTGAAATCATGATCATTATCCTGCAGGCTTCGAGAAAATTTCCACAGAATCACTTAGAAATCAGCTGGGAGTCCAATTGTTCATGTAAGATCAGCATGCCACTATATTGGCAGTCAATACCAGCCCAAAAGCATCCATATGTGATTTGAAGTGCGTGACAATAATTGTGGTGAATTCCTTTCTAAATTCTAATCCACAGGTTTGGATCCAAGAAAATAAAAGATATGAGAACAGATGGTACATTACCATTTTCCATCCTGCAATTTGACCATCCCACAATTTGAAAGTTGAATTTTAATGGGACATTGACTTGCAATTTGACCTCTTGCCCCACAATTTGACATGCAGAGAGACTCAAAATGTCAGATTTGATGCAGACATAATCAAATTTAACATGGTCTCAAAATTTGATGGCTTGCCAATAATTCAACCCATACCTGGCAATGCATTAGGGTTGAATTGCGGGGCACCACCTGTACTATTTACAAGTTTGCTGCCTCACAATGAGTTCTAGGATAAACCGATTTAAATAATTCTTCCAGGAGGTGAACACAAAAAGTAAAAATAGATATTGCACAATGAAAGAACCATCCCATCCTGGTTCAAAATTAAAACCCTTTTTTACAGGATAAAATCATGAGAAATTGTTGAGTTCTTTAAATTCCGCTAGTGTGACCAGTTAATCTTGGTGCAATGATATATTCCCTTTGAATAAGCATCTCAGCATTCCACGGATAAAGAATAAAAATGAAATGACCTCCTTTGTTCCCGAAATCCAAGAAAAACAGGAGTTATAGCAAAGATATTATATACTATATCTTCAAACACAATTTTCCAGCCAAACCACACGAAAGATCTATAGTCAATGCGTAATGCATGACCTGGGCCACAAAAATAATTGGTAATACTGTATATAAGAATAAGTTGGCCGAAATGCACTTCTAGAACAAATTTATTTTGAAAAAAGAAATCAGCATTGATATCTTGCCAGCGCGATTTCCAGCCAATCCCACAGGCTGATTGCTGAGTTTCCGTATTCATTCTACAATGGCCCACAACAAACCTTTTGTTCCTTCGGCAGCTGCAAATCCAATACAAAAGGGTTGAAGCAAATTGAAATCACAATAAGAGGAAATAATCTCGCTTTCTTACAGTACAGTCGTTACACTGCTAGGTTCTTTAGAAATGCTCGTGGGAACTTGGGATGGGTTATATTGAATAACGACCGGCTATATACACAGACATCTTCTGGTCCCAGCAGCCGATGAGAGTCAAACAAGCAATCCAGGCAAACGATTCGTTGGTGGCAATGATACAAATGGAAGCTAAGCTCACTTCTTCCTCAGTCATGTCACTTCAAAAGAGCAGAGAAAAAGGAGGCAACAAACAACAGCTCATCCCGAACCCGCAAAAGCCATCACGGCATCCGATCGATTATACTGCACTGATGATGCTCTATACATGCCACATCTCTATGTCCTGTATATAGGAAGGGTCTATAACAGAAGTTCTGGGAGTGTAAAAATTGAAACGGCATGCAATGAAGCTGAGAACAATGATTGTTCAGAAGAAGAAAAAAAACTTTGGCAAAAGGAAACAAATCCAGCCTGGTTTGACATATTTTGCAGAAAATATGCATAAAAGTCTCCCTGCTTGAGGACAGCTTTCTGTTTTTTACTCATGCTATCTTAACTTGCTTGTAATTCTTTGGTCGTGTCAATAAAGTCAAACACTTGATAAATACAAAATAAAAGTATATGATGTATTTCTTTGGTATTCTAAATCACACTTGTATTCTGAACACACACAAACAGAGTCAAGACAATATGTATATATTAAAGAAGTCTTGCAAAATTATTGCAAGTCTCCTTATTGAGAACAATTGCAAGAGTCGCAGGTACAATTCTCAGGTAAGATTCTTCTGATGAGTTTCAGAGAGAGCAGGAATATATATATAGGTTTTTGGACATTGGGATAATGACATGATTCTAGATTCAGAGATGCCTATCCAGATCTTGGGACCAGGATGTGTGTCTCAGGAACTAGTGCAGAATATAATCAAAGAATGCGGAGAAACCAAATTCTAAGAACAGCAATTACTGTTTGTAACTGTCAACAGTGTTTCTATGATGGAGAGCAACAAATACTGTACTTGAAAATATAGAAGTTAAAATAAATATGAACACAAATCAGTCTGGGATTGGCTGCTGCTCGGAAGAAATATCTTGCGAGAAAGTTCCTGGATTAATTTAATTTTAATTATGTCTCAAAATCAACAGGCAAGCAAATCAACTCAATTGAAAGCAACCTTTTACACACAAGAATCTATAATATGCAAACAGCGACATTTTCGGAAGATTTTAGACACAATAAGTGAATGTTTGTTGCTGGTTGTCAAGTTGACTTTTGCAAGAAAGAAAAATTACAAAAAAATATGTTCACCAGGGCTGATTTTTTCTCATTGGGCTGACGAATGCTGGCTCTGAATAATGATTGCTTTTTCAGCTCAATTTTATGCCGTTTCAAAATTCCTAATTCCGAGAATACTTTTTGGACCCCTCGTATATGAAGCTCTAGCACAATTACCAGCCAGGCGGCGCTGAATGCATCAACATCTATCTCGAACCCCTGCGGGATTGCTCTGAAGAACGATCGACTGAGGATTGAGCTGCGAAACCTTGGGATATGCAGTACAGTAGTGTACTTCGCTTCATTCTTTCAGAACCGTAACATATTAGAAGGCCTCTGTTGGACCATTCAAACGGGTTGACCAAGAGAACATTGACCAAATTACAACATAGGTGCACCTCAGGAAGTCAAATTCGAAGGGATATATGGTATTTACTCAAGTACCACGCGCACCTTTTTTCTGGAATAACAGAAGAAAAAGAAAGGGTGGGTGTCATAATAAGTGGGTGCAAAATGTTCAAGAAGTTTTAGGAAGTTATGTGTGCATTATACTTGATTATAATGGAGAAATTTGGAACAAATATAAGAATAAAACATTTTTGTATGGAAAAATTTGAAAATTGATCAGATTTTTGTTCCATTCACACCTAAAGTCAAATTTTTTGTTTTTATTTCTGAAATTGTATGGGTTTAGATTCACTAAAAATTGGAGTGCGCGTCTTACTTGGGGATAAGGTTTTTGCAAAATTTTCAACTGAAAAACTCTTGTGCGCACCTTACTTGCAAGCGCGTGGTACTCGAGTAAATACGGGTATTAAAACAAATATTATACTTGGAAAATTTTTGTGTAAGGGAATATTCCCTGATTTTTGAATGTTACTCAACAAAAATCGTTCACTGGAGTGATTAATAAAATAATGCATCATGGTTAGTTTTCTTGCCAGCTCAGGAGGTTCCCAAAATCCCTTCCAGATAGCATTGCTATCATGCTAGGTAATTATAAATATGCTCTGGAACAGTTATTCTCAAATTCAGCGAACGTAGAATAGCACAAAGGTAATTTAACATTCAACTAAAGGAAGTAAGAACCACCAAATCTTTTTTTATTTTCTGAACTTTAAGATGTATTATGTTTTCAAGGGGATCGGATCAGTCAGGGAACGACAGACATTTTCAGATCAGGGTATTTTATACTTGGGGAGGCTCAACTCACAGAGGTCAAGTTGTTCTTGAAATCATTAAATTCCTTCACAGTATTGGTAATTTTTCGAATATTGCACGAAAAAGTAATTCTTCAGAATTACAGCATACAACGCAATTATTTTTCCTGCCATATGAGCATTACTG